CAGGATATGTATCCTGTCTGTGGGCTGGCAGGCAGAACTTACAGGGTCTGATCCATCAGGTCCTGAGTAGCGAGAGACCTTTCTGTGCAAGGCTGTCTTTCTGCCAGCAGGCTGCAGCAGGACCCACAGTCCAGGCAAGGCTCCCTGCTTGGGATCATGTCCTGCATCCCTTGGGGGAAGAACAAAGGCTTTTAGGGAGACTCTCTGCAACAAAGAACCCCTTCCCTATGCAGTGTCCTTCCCACCTGCTGGCACAGCAGGACTGGCTCACCTCCAGCACAAGCTGCAGGCAGGTTCTTGTTGACTGTGGGATCCACATGGGATGAGGCATTGGCACAGTGGGGTGGGGGCCCTGCTGCCTGGGAAGCAGTGGGTTCTTCTTGGGTTGCCCTGCTGGTCCTGTGACAACATGGAAATGTGTTGGAGGGAGGGGGAAGAAGGCTACTACAGTAAAGACTGACAGCCAGAGTTAGGTGAAATGTGAAATACAAAGCTCACAGCAAACAGATTCTCTTCTCTTCTCTGTGTTTTAAAGTCGTCGGTACTGAAGCTGAAACAAAGATCAGAAAATTATTTAARCCACATCCTGAGCTGACAAATTGCCTTATGAAGAARAAAATGCTTTTCTTGTAAACTGGTCAAAATTGATGAAGTGACAAACCAATAAAGCAATAATAAATGTACCATTCATGCTGCTACTTAATTGTTCATTTTTCAATATGAGGTACTCACACACACACATATATATATATAAAAGCATATAATAAACTTCCAACACACTATAAATATTACTATAATAATTTGTTGTCTATGTCATATGCCATAGAAGATTAAATTAAGGGACTAGTCTTATGAATTACAGAAAATTAAGGAAGGCCATGAAAGATTACAAGATTTCAGTGAAGTGAGAAGGTGCTAAAAACCCACTTTGTTCCAATCAGTTATCTAACCTGTAACTGGCATACTAATATCTTGAATACTTGCAATGGATGGTCTCCATGATCTCTGGGGGAGGTTTAGTCATGACTTCAGAGATTTTACAGCATCTTGATTACTCTTGCCTTCTTTTGTCCTTTAGGGGAGATCCTTTTTSCAGTTTGTTCGGTGCTGCTGGTTGTTGTCAGTTGGGTGTTTCCTTTCATCTACCCAGCTCCCTGAGACTTAGGCACGTTTGTTTGCAAGTTTTCTGGCTGAAAACGAACTCATGGGGAAGTCCTTTGAGTTATCTGCCCTCTCCCTGGGGAGAGGATTTCTTATCAGAGATAATGAGCGTTGTTTTGAAGAGTGGATATCATTTGTTATCAGTTTGAGCCTTGGACTTCGCTCTTGTATACCATGGTGATGCTGACCTTACAAAGATAGATATTGTGCTCTTTTCACCCACTCCAGGCAGTTCCCAGCTTCCTGTGTCCTTAAATGCATGTTCCTCAGTCATACCGTGAAAATCTTTGTATTTAACCCCTTCACAATAGACAGAGGAATATCAGCTGGGCCAGCTTCACAGCATTTAGCAAGCCTGCAAACAGTTTACAGCAGGCTGTCCATTTCAGTGGTCTCTGTGAGAGTGGAAGCAGGAACCTGAGCAGCTCCATTCTGATTTGGTGGGAGCCTCAGCTCCCCTCGGTTACTGCAYCCTCAAAATTATGGGAGAAGGAAAAGATACATCCTTGAATTGTCAGCACAAAGTCTTTTACRCTTTCCTTCTCCTTTTAACTGCTCTGTTGTTCTGTAGTGGCTTCTAAAACTTTCTTAAGACATACTAACATATGGATGTACCCTTTAAAGATGACTGGATCCTACCCTTAGATCTTCAACTYTTTCTAAGTTAAAGCCTGATAATCTTTAAAGATACTGTGCATTTAACTCGGGTTATAGATAGTCCAAGAGAAGGTGCCTGCAATGCGTTAAGCTGTTCTTTGTAGTTATTTATGATTTTATGTCCTTTTATTTCAGGAAATGGATGACACAGTGTGAAAACAAATTGTGTAAGGGGACTGGTGATGGGACATTTAAGTGAAGCATAGACATTTCAATTGAAGTACAGTGTGTTAGTCAAATGTTGCCTGCTGGGCTCATTAGCAGTAACAGGATTAATTCTGTAGCCTGTGGTATGCAGGAAATTGTAGTRGAAAAACTAATGGCCTTTCATCTCTGTAGTGTGGGAAGAGCTAAATGTCCAGTTTTTGGGTATTCACTTTGTCTTAGGTTCTGGAATGACAAAGAGTTGTGTACATGGTTTCATGGCACATCCATTTTCTTAAGTGTTTGGCAGAGTGAGAGGAGAGGTGATTGCAGGGAAGGAACCGATTGTTTTGTTAGTTTGTGATTTTTGTGTTGTCTTTTTTGGTTGTTTTTGTTTGTTTTTTTTTTTTTTTTAGAGAGGTGATAGCTTTAGGATGAAAATATTTTTAAGGTTTTTGTCACACATAGCCTCTCTGGTTGGGTTTTTATTAATAAATGAAGTGTGAATACCAAGACCTTCAAATAAAGGCTCTAAAAATTCCACAGTGTCTGGATGGTTGTCACTTCTGTCAATATTATCTGGTGAAAGGTGGTACTGTAAACTGTCACAGAAGTGCAGAATTTTAGCTTTTCTTTCTGTCTSTTCCTCTCATACTCCAGCTGGGTTTTTCTGCATACCTGTCACATACTTGTGTTTTTCTTYTTCACAATCCACGCAAACCCTAAAAAACAGTTACATTCCCTTTTCAGATATCTTTATTATCCTTCTCCCAACACACCTCTACCCCATACCTCTGGTTTATGGATGCCTTTTCAACATATCTACTCCTTGCAATATTGGTTTTCTTTTCTTTCTTTTTGGTAACCAGTCTCCAAGATTGCATTGTTACAATTGAATAAGGAATAGGACTTTGAATAGGATTCTGTATTACTTGAAAATATAATAAGTCCTTTTTTTTGCTACGTTTTGCTTCAACTTATAGTGCTCTGGCAGTCTCTGCCATAGAACTCTGCAGTTACTGAGCAATTCATTGCTTGAGCTGGGTCCTGTTCTTCATGGGAAGTACATATTTGGTAAGGACAGAGTGGGGTTTTCCTGACGTACTGGCAGTTTTACAAGGGAAAGAAGGCACATTCAGAGTGTTATCACATCATTTCAATTCCAAGTCAAAGGSATTCTGTATTTCCTTCATTTTTACCTTTTATATTGTACCAATTATCAAAGCCAAAGCAAGCAAGTTCATGTATGGTGAGACAGAAACACACCAAGCAGGAGTTGCCCAGTTTCTTGAAGATTAGTCTAAGGTAATATTTAAGCTTCAGTCCCATTGCTTAGAAGAAAATCAACTTGCATGTGGATCCTGATCCTTTGTCAAGTCACCTTGAGTTCACTGTGGTTCCAGGTTAGGGTAGCAGATTTTACCCTCTACAGGGGAAGGAGGGGAGCATTTTACAGCTGGTTGTCTGGTAGGGAACTGGTGGGTGTTGGTGGGTCCTATTAGTGGTGCTATTTTCAGAGATTTGATCCACCCTTTTCACTCACAGTCATCACCAGTCAAACAAAAGCGGTTTGTTTCTACAGTGGAATCAATAAAAAAGAAATATATTATGGTATTATGACTTAGCTGGGAACATATGCTTTTTACCTTTTGCTGTTGTGTCTTCTGTTTAAGGATGGGTTTTCCAACCATTCATATTCTCTCAGTTCTATGCTAGGTCTGTGTGATCTGTAGTCTGCACAGAAAATTCATGTTGTCAGCAGTACAAAGATAGTTTTTTTGTTTCAATGTTTGCTGCTGGTGTAATGTGTTATATTGATCCACTCTGGCCTCTGAAGAATTTTCCTGCTGGTGATGAGAAGGATGCTATATCTCTTCAACAAAAGAAAATACTTTAATTTTCATGCAAAACAATATTCAGCAGAATCATAAAACCTTAGACCTGGTAATAAAAATAGAAGCAGATGCTATTAATACATCATTCCAGATACACAGAGCACCATTATGTGGCTCCTGGGTTGAGTAAAACTTCATGTAATCACAGAAACCATAGACTTAAGCTCTATAAAGTTGGAAACTTCACCAGATGGCSATTGTCGAAGCAGCTTCTAAAGACTTTAGAACTGCAATGTGTTAGGACCCTAGATATGAGTATATATGTGTTAGCTTTTTTAAAATACAATTACTGAACATAACTGATCTACATTATGGAAGTAATAATAATAATACTTTGTACTCAGTGACCTTTTATCTGAGGACCCAAAAGCTCTCGACCAAGGCTTTTGAATACTCCCTTTCTGCTTACAGGAAATAAAGTGTTCAGCATCTTGAATATCTCTGTGAGAGAATTGAGCAGGAGCAATCCAACTCCCTGGCATATTGCAAGCAGTCAGGTGGTGTTTTCTCTGTGTCTGGGACTGGGACAGGGGGGCTATCCTATAGCTGTCTCTGTCCCTAACAGCTGGGAGATGACGCCCCAGTCACTCGGGGGTGGAGCTTCCTTTACAGGAGTACTTTTAATCTTGAGCAGGTCCAGCCTTTGAATGGTATTGCTTGTATATTGAAATGCTGTGTGGCAGGAATAAGAATGACACATAATGGCCTAACCTGTCATTTTCTTTATTTGCTCTGTAAACTGTGAGGATAATACTGAAATGATGTAAAGACTATGKCTCAGATATACCACACTTACCTGAGGAGTTTAGATATGGAATKATAGATCTTAGGCGCYATATATTCAGGACAGACAGGTAAGYACCTTCAGGGACTGGCCTGTATTTTAGGGAGAATGGTTATGTCCTTTTGAAATGCACCACATGTTGTCCATGAATTTATAGTGCTTTAATACTCAGCCTGAAAATCACATGGTGGTATTATCGGTAATGGGAGTAAATAACTGTATTTGACATTTGCCTTTCTACAGTCAGTAGCTATTTTTTTTCCTTCTTTTTCTCCCAAAGTGATTTTATTGTGGCTTTTCATGGTCTAGAGATCATTCCTTAGAATTTTCTTGGTGACTGTGTTTGTTCTGTCTTTTAGATTGATGTGATTGTGACTTTGGGAGGACTTGGAGGACGKTTTGACCAAACAATGGCATCAGTGGAAACGCTTTTTCATGCAACGAATATCACTCCTTCTCCAGTGATAGTTATCCAGGATTGCTCGCTGATTTACCTGCTGCAACCTGTAAGTGTTGGGAAAGTTGCTTCATAATAAAACTGACCTTCCACTCTCCCTGGTACCATAGGTTTTGCACCATTAAATCCTCACTTTCTCAGTTGTGTTCTATAGGGTCAGAACTGAAATATAAAATACATTGCAGGCAAGTGGACAGCAAATGATGGGCTCTGAATTCCTGCCTTGGAAAAGATTGTGTTTAATTTGTTCAGAATAGATTTCTTGGAAAAGGGAGAAACAAGAAAACCAGAAAGTACAAAAGCTCAATTTGGGTAAATATAAGGTATTGATTATGAATGGAAAAAAAAACAAACCCAAAAAAACCAAACTTTTTGAACAAGATTCCAGTAAGTTTAAATTTAACACACAGTCCTTTTACATGTTAAGTAGCAAGAAGGATGTCTGCAATAAGAGGGGGAAAAGAAAATATGTAAGAGGATGTTATGAGGTAGTTCCTGACACACACATCAGGCAGAGCTCTTATGCAGTCGGAGTGGTGCAGTTCATTATGATGGGAATCCATCTAGCATCAGCGAGGGAATTTATTTAAGATGTGTTATTTCTGTGGTTTTTCAGATCTGTTTTTGCATTTATTGATTCGTAAAACAACACACACAAAAGATCTTGCTGATCTTCTGCTTCTGAGATTTAAATTAAAGGCAAATCTAAACATCAAACACTGTTCTCTAACAGTGATTCTTTTTTTTCTTTTGACAATACCTTTTCCCTTGGCAAGGTTTCTAAAAGCTTACCTATCTTTTCCAATTTCTTTTGGAAAGCTTATTCATTAAAATGAAWAACATTCACAGGTAAATTTGACAAAACCTTGCACCAGATGTGCTTTATCGTAATTTGAGAAAAGCATTAATGAGGTTCTATGAGATTATAGATTTAAAGCCACAGGGGCAGGTGCTCTATTAACAATTTGAAGCACTGTGTCTGCAGGAAAGGGAGCAGGCACAGGAGCTCTTTTGCCAGTATGATGAAGAATTACTCTGATCATTAGTTGCACAGCTAAATGGATAGAGGCAGCAGAGTGAGGGGGAAAGAGAACTGAAGGATAACTGTGGTTAAAATCTAAAAGTTAGGAGTCGCTTGTGATTGATCTATGAGTGCAGTACTTCACTGACTACTGTAAATTTCCTTTGGGGTATTTTTAAGAATATGTTGAAGAGCTGAAATAAGGTGTAGAATTTCCAGTTTAGCTCACAAAACTCTTTCTCAGACTGGAAAGTCTTCTAATTATTTTCATTCACCTTTTCTGTAAGTGCGTTAAAATGTCATGCCTAAGGTTGCTTTCACAAGTCTTCCATGAATAATTAAACCCTTTAAAACCTAGAAAAARAAATCATGGTCTGTGCATTTTAAATAGAAATGGGAGGTTGCTAATTGTTTTGTTTGCCAGAAACATCTCTGTTCTTTTTAATAATGTCATACAAAAAGCATTTAATATTTTTTTGTAGATGAGCAGAGTTCCACAGGAAACTTCAGGCAATTTCTCATATAAAGAAATAAGGGGCATATGTAGGGGCAGGCCACTTGAACAATCTTAGTGCTAATTTTGACACAAAATTACTTTTCACTGTTGGTTTAAACCTGTTATTGTCAGCATCTTCAGTCAACTGTTGCAGTACCTCCAGGTAATAACATTAGTCCTGCATAGCTGTTTATATTTTAAAAAGTGAGTAGTTTATAAATGGAAAGAAACAAGTCTCCTAAGCTTGGAAACTTTTTTGTTTGTTTGTTTGTTTGGGGTTTTTTTTTTTTGTTTTTTTTTTTTGTTGGATTTGGTTTTTATTTTTGTGGGGTTCAGCCTGATATTTTTCTCTTGCAAACAGCGACAATCATGACATTCCCTCTTTTCCCCCTCTCCCTTTTGTAATTTAAAACCAAGGTAGGAGAGACTTTAACACAGTGGGAGACCCACTGACTTTTCCAAATGCAATGACTTTTCTGGAAACTGTGCAATAAGTGAAGMAAGGTTTTGTGATTCAAATGCTAATGCAAATGATAAAGTTGAGAGCATGCCGCTTTTTCTATAAATGTAGATTGGAAACTTTTCTCTCTTTGGGAAGAAAAATCTGATATTTGTTGGATTCTTTAAATAAAATATGAGCAAAACATAATTATGTTTTTGCTTCCAAATAACATTAGCTATTTAGTATAGCAGGAGAGTGGTTCTCTGTCATGTGTACCGATGCAGAATCTAAAATATTTGGATACAGCAGATAAACTGCTAATTCCATAAGAGCCCTAGGAAGGATACCAAGGGGAGTAACAAGTCAAGCTGCTGAATTTATAGTTCCTCATGCAGAAACTGAGAGGAGGATGGTGTGAGTAGGTATCTAAGTGCATCATAAGATCTGTTATTTGCTTTGAAAGAGAGCAATTTCACATTGTTACAACATTGGTATAGAGGGTTACAGTAGAAGAAATATGTCAATATTTAACACATTTCTAAAGGGTCCACAGCATTATAGGAAACATGCTGATGGACTTTGTAAAAATATTTAGGGTGATAATAGGAGGACAGCAAGGACAATCCCTGATTTGAGCTCCACTGCTGACTACCAAGCAAGSTGGACCAGGTAAACAAAGCCTTTTTTTATTAGCCAATAACATTATCCAAGTACTGAATGTAGGAGTAATTAGCACTTTGAGTATTGAGGCATTTCTTGGGAAATAGTGATGGAAATAGTAYAAGTTTTTGAAATATATAGATAAAAATRTTTTGGCATGGAAAACGAAGAAAAMTAAAAGGAMATAAACTCTCTTATGTTCATATCTGACCTTTAAGGATGAGATCCTGTAAGGAAAAGATAAAAAAGATGGGAATAATTACATCTCATAAATACCTGTCTCCATGATCTCTATGGAGAAATTCAGTGGGAGGCTGAAATGTAGATATATACACRGCAGGTATCTAAATTTAGATAAATGAATTCCAATATATATCAAACTACTAAACAAGTATTTAAGAAAAGAAAGCAGGCATGAAATGAGTTGTGCCTATGGAAGGGCCCAAACAATGAGAACATCATTTGTAACTACAGAATTTATAAGTTGACAGTGAAAAATTTTCTCCTGTCTGAATGGTAAAGGAAAACTAATGACAAGCAGCTTAAATGAGCACTTTTGCTCAGTCTTCACTAAAGCAAAATATTCYTTTGAGCAGATAACAAACACAGTTAAAATCAGTGCCAAAGTCTGAAGACTTTAAATTGCTTCAGAGAAAAAGCAAATAAAAGATTGAGCTGCCTTTGATTCTGCCAACTCCAAGGGCTGTTACTTTTTGTGTGCCATGCAACACTAATTAGGATAGGAGTCAGAAATAGGGAGACTTTGTAAGAATTCTAGGATGTGATGYTTGTTCTGAAGCATTTTCTAATGTGATGGTTGGAATTTTTAAAAAAAAAGAAGGAAGAAAATGTGCCTGTATACTGAATATATGTCATATTTCTTTSTGTAGTGGAGGAGGGAGGAAAGCCTGAATTTTTAATAAAGAGTAATCAGTCTTTATGAGCAGCATATTTTATGCAAGAGTTCATACATGTTTGAAATTTGGTAATATCAATTACCATTAGACTATACCCTGRCTGAAGAGCATAAGGCCCTTAGAGTCGTGTTTATCATGCTAGCCATGCTCAATATGAATGGCTTAAGCTTTCACATACATACTTTCTCATTTTCTGGTTGTGTGCTTCTCAGGAGTACAGAAACATTAGCTTCTGTACACCGAGCATATATTATCTTTTATCTGTGAGYTTTATGGCAGTTTGTAATACAAGGTAATAGGATTTATGACCAAGAAATGAGAAGATGTCCAAGAGTTAATGAGGCCTGTCTTTTACATATACTGARCAGTTCAGTTTTCCCCACACAGGATTCCAGCCCTAGGACGTAGAGACGACTTGCTGCCTACACATGAAAATGTGTTACAGCAGCAAATTTTTGTCAGTTAACTAACTCTTTTGAAAGAGTGTGTGAATACTTTGATAACCYTTTTTCTTGCACCCAGCTTTTCTTGTGAGTGCATGCCTGCCTTCCCTGTGAGAAATGATGAATAATTTAACATCATAGGCAGCAGCCCAGCAGCTAAATGTGAGCAATAAGAATCGAGAATCCCATCCCTTATTCTTGGCTCTTTACCACCATTTCCTTGAAGAGAAGTATATTGSATAGTCTTTTGATCTCACCGTCTCCTGGACTGTAAATTGGGTAAAACCCATGTCCTTTTCYGAATGGSTACTGTGAGGCTCATTCAGKTATTTACAAAATGCCATTACATCCYCAGCCCTGCACTGGGGAGGAATRTAGGATCGTGGTAACAGTAACAACAGTATTAGCAAGGCCCTTAATTGACATAAACATTGCCATACAGGAAGCTGTGCAGATAATTAGTGAGCACAGTCCTGAGCTGAGTTTTGGTGGGAGCCAGCCATCCTGCTCACAGATGGCGTCTGGGTTTAGCGCAGGCCAGGAGCTGTGTTTGGAAGGGACCACCTTATCTCGGGGCCAAGAGAGAACAGCCACATGCACATGAGCTGCTGTGCTGGTTGGCTTGAGTTCCAAAGGAATTACCTCAACCRATTTACAGGTGCAGACAGAGGGGCTTGGCATGAAGATCTGCTCCTAGATGGAGACACTACAGTGGATGTGAGAGAGGGTATAAAAAGTGGAAACTTTGCTGGGGTTTATTGCTGCAGTTCTCTGTGCCAGTGTTATTTGATTTGGTTTATGTCCATGCTTGTAAAGTTTAATGGAAAGTTCAGGGTATATACCTTCAGCTTCTGAGTTTTTTTTTTCTCTGGCAGCCAGTGCCTTGAAATTTGCAGGCACTTCAAGAGTGAGTTATCTGATCAGTTCTGTACCGCCTCTGCCTCTCTTTKGGCTTATGATCAGTCCAGTCCTCAAAGGCCAGGTTTTTTATCTCRAATGCAGGGCCTCTCTTTTCTATAGAGGTCTCCCATTGAAGAAATAGTCCTTTCCAGAACAGCTTGTTTTCTCCA